AGTGGCTGAGGTGGGAGGATCACTTGACCCTGGAAGATGGAGGTTGCAGTGAGCCAAGACAGCACAACTGCGCTCCCACCTGGGTGACAGAATGAGACCCTGTCTCCAAAAAAAAAAAAAAAGAAAGAAAAGAAAAGAAAAAAGAAAAGGAAAGCAACCAGGCGCGGTGGCTCACGCCCGTAATCCCAGCATTTTGGGAGGCCAAGGCAGGCGGATCACTTGAGGTCAGGAGTTCGAGACCAGCCTGTCCCAACACGGTGAAACCTCATCTCTACTAAAAATACAAAAATTAGGCCAGGCGTGGTGGCTCACGCCTGTAATCCCAGCACTTTGGGAGGCCAAGACGGGTGGATAACGAGGTAATAGATCAAGACCATCCTGGCTAACACAGTGAAACCCTGTCTCTACTAAAAATACAAAAAAAAAGGGCGTGGCGGGGGGTGCCTGTAGTCCCAGCTACTTGGGAAGCTGAGGCAGGAGAATGGCATGAACCCAGGAGGCGGAGCTTGCAGTGCACAGAGATGGCGCCACTGCACTCCAGCCTGGGCAACAGAGCAGGACTCTGTCTCAAAAAAAAAAAAAAACAGAAAAATTAGCCTGGTGTGGTGGCAGGCACCTGTAATCCCAGTTACTCAGGAGGCTGAGGGAGGAGAATCGCTTGAACCTGGGAGGCAGAGGTTGCAGTGAGCCGAGATCAAGCCACTGCACTCCAATCTGGGGGACAAGAGCAAGACTTTGTCTCAAAAAAAAAAAAAGGAAAAAAATAAGAGCTACACACAAAAAAAGCAGTCTTCTATAAAAATCTACAATCTACAAACACTATTATGAATAACTGAGGCTACTGCTTCTGACAAAGCTAAACATTTTTTTAAATTAAAAATTTTCCCCCCTTAAATTATATTTAAATTAAAAAAAAAGTTTTAAGACACGGGATCTCACTACATTCCCCCAAGCAATCCTCCTGCCTCAGCCTCCCAAAGTGCTGGGATTACAGGTATGAAAAGTATAATGCTCAGGATTTCTCACTATAATCTACACTAAGGTATTTTGAACAAAGTCTCAAACTCAGCAATAATTTTTTTGCAGCCAAGTGAGTCACAAACCAGCTCCACCAGTCTCCAGGTAAAATATGATTTCTGGCCATTTGTTTCTAAGTCACCTGCCACTTGGCCCACACATTTACAATTATGCTCAGTTCTCCTTTAGTTCACGAGTCCAAAATGGCCACAATGAAGTAAGACATATAAAGAGGGCTTGGCATCAAGATGTACCAAAAATCAGGACTTAAGGGCATCAGACTATTTTTCCTGTCAATTCTACTTACATTTACTCCATTTAGGGAAAAAAGAGGAACAAGGAAGTACACACCAGAGTTTATTCCAACACAAGGAAAAAAGAAAAGAAAATAAACTATTATTACTTCCCTTTGTTTTAAGCCCTGCCCACATTGAGAAAAATCCAAAAAATACTTAAAACTTGACCAACACAATGAATGCCAGAGCACTCACTATGCCAGGCACAAAGCTAAGAGCTTGTACTAGAATCTGTGGTAGTTATCCCTATTTAAGTCAAGTCAAGGAGCACAATGGTGAAGTAACACCTGGCTTCATTGTCCCCAGGACCATAAAGGTAAAAAGTAACAGAGTCAAGATCTGAACTCAGGCAACGTGGCAGTAGACTCCAACTCACAATGACACTAGCCCTCTGCAAGCACTGCTAGGCTGCAGATGCTCAGGGAAATGCTGTTCAAGATAACCAGAAACATCTTTCAGCAATATCCAGGACTGCATGCAACTAATGCTACAAATGCAGTTTCAAAACGTGGAGGCAAAGAAAACAAGCATCAAGGAAGAAAAACATGAAAAGCATGAAAAGCTGAGAAAGAACAATTAGAGAAATGGCTCTATGGGGCACAATCAAACACGGGCTCACACAGGTTGCTGGAAAGTGGGATCTCCAATGTAAGGAGCTAACACAGGCACGCTTGACCAAGTATTTCCCAGGTAAACATCAACCCTAGCTAGATTAAAATGATTTTTTACTCCTCTTCTTTAGTTTCAGGTATCACAAAATATATTGATCTAAGAATACTACTGAATATTGAAGAAACACCATCCTCTTTACATTTATCAAATTAAAAACCAGCAATCAGGATTTTGGCTTCCTTTATCAAAAAGAGGAAGAAAAGTCGGACCCTGCTATCTACAGCAGAAGAAACCACGCACTCCATTTTATTGAATTCTGTCCTTGCTGAAGGGACAAGTTCAACTCACATTTACATTATCTTCCAAATCCTTCTAGCCACATTCCAACGAAACCAATTAACTGAATTTTCAACTTCTCAAAAGCCCACTGACAACTAAAAGGGGCCATCTGCTGGGTATTTATCTCAATCCTGACCTTCATTAAGAAGGTCAAGATTGAGATAAAAACCTAGTGAACTTCTTGGTAGTTATCAAGAAGCTGGTAGGAGTGCCAAATTGTCCCCAGGCTGCAAAATAACCCATTTTTACCTTGTCAGATTAAGTGCTTAATTATACAAAATACAGGAATGTTGCCTGCTGCCCACTTAGAAGTATCCACCAAATTTTTCCCCCTTAAATTATATTTAAATATTTAATCAGAACTATAACCAATATCATTTAAATTTAGTACTACTTACTGCTGTATGCACTTGTGACACTACCTTGCTAATTTTATTGGTTCTATTTAAGGCAACCAATTATTCCTACAGCTGTATGCCTGTTCTCCAAAGACCACACCCTGAAAAGAAGAAAAAGTGAGACTATCCACAGTATTACCCACACACTCCTTGAATCAAATAAGAAAACGTTATTATACTATCAAATTCCACAAGACACAACTTACCATTTCTATTAGGCAAAGGATGTGTTTTCATTGTACAGGAACAAGGTACAAAATAAAACTAGTTCAGACTGACAATCTAGCATTTACAATAATCCAAGAATCATATATGATGTTTTCTAAAAATAAATGTTCCTCATTAAGTTTTCTGAGCAGGAAAACTAGCAAACTGTAAACATTTTAAAATGAAGCAATCAAATTAAGGATTATTTCAGAGTTCAAATGCTGAATCCATCTTCTTACACGAAAAGTTAGCACTAAAGAAAACTGCTAGCTTACTCCTAAAAGGACACATTCTACAAGCACCCAACAGCACCAAAGCCAGAGGACACTCACATTTCATATGGCCTAGGCTGAGAACCTGGCACATAAAAACACTAAAAATGTGTTGCCTTCCCCTTCAAGAACAAAGCAATACCAACAAGAGCAAAAGAATAAATCATGGTACTGCCACACCACAGAGCAATACTCGCCAATTAAAAGGCACTGAACTATGCACACCTGCAATGCGAACTCGATGGGTGAATCTTATCATAGTAAGTGGAACAAGCCAGACACAACAGGCTACAAGGACTGCACGGTTCTATTTAGGACATGATGGAGAAGAAAAAACAGTAATCAAATCAGTGACTGCCAGGGGCTGGAGTGGGGGTGACAGATATATTCTACTTGTTAAAAAAAAAAAAAAAAAAAAAACGAAGTACACATTCTAAAACGGTGATTTTACCGTATGTAAATTACACTCCAAGAAACTTTTTTTAAATTAAGTATTATTTCAAAATTCCCTTTTTGGACAAAACCAAGAGCCATTCCAAAATGTTCAAGACCGTCAAGCACTACAGATGTTGAAGCAATTTACTCAGTCACAATTTAAGAAACAGCTATATAAAAGCAAAGCCAGCCACTGGGGCACTATTTAACCATGTTCCCTTTTTTCAGTAAGGCTGGACTAGTAGCATGATAGTTCCTCATTCCCTAAAGTTAGCGTTCCTTTTCATCACTTTGTTACCAGTTCTCAAATTACTGTCCCAAAAAACTGTAGTCTACTCAAGAAATCTCACAATAAGAAATATTTTTCCTACAAGATGCAGCGGCCATTTGCACATTCTTACACAAAAATTAAAACTTGAAAGTCACGCAGCAGCTTCATAGCCCGTTTCAACCTATACCGGTATGTTTGAAATGCACAAAATTCCATTACTGTTCTGAGCAACTCTTAAAAGTTTGAAAGCATTTAATTACGTTTTTTTTAAGATTAACAAAGTCATAATCCTTTTTCCATAAAAACCTTGCCAAAAACAAAACAAAAATTCAACCTCAAATTTCTCAGTCTTCAAAATCAGTAAGGCACAAAATCTAAACCCACCGTTACCAAGAAAGCACAATGGTCAAGAACGTTTACTTACATATCTTCATGTCATCACAAAGGGTGGATTAACTCCAGAAAGGAACCACCATAAAACACAATCTATCAACTCAAAACCCTCAATAGAATTCCTGCCAGCAACTCATAATAATCAGACATAGAATCGTTTTGACAGAAAACACGTGATGAAATGCTAGAAAAGAGCAGCACGTTAACATGCACGCAGATGACCGATTAGCAAGCTTTCAAGCACTTCAAAACTACATACACTGCCACGCTCTCAAATGCCTAACTCAAGAATTTTTTCCATACAGTTCGTCCCACCTCCGACTGTAGTACAAAAAACATCAACTCTTTTCTTCCCTCAACGTCTTTTCCAGTGGGAAGCAAGGCTCAGCGTCTCCCAGCTCAAGGCTTCTCAACCTGAGCACTACTGACTTTAGAGACAGGATAATTCTTCGCTGAGGGGGCCGGGGGTGTTATCTTGGGCACTGCAGGACCTTCAGCAGCCTCCATCCACTGGGTGCCAACAACAGCCCCCTCTAGGAGAAGACAACCAAAAACGTCCCCAGGCGTTGCCATCTGTCCTGAGGGGTGTCAAAACTGCCTCCGGTGGATCTAGCTAGAGCACCGCCGGGATTCTCAAGTTGCAAGGTATTCTAGGTTAGCAGCCGGGCTGGGGAGCAGAAAACACACTTGGAACGCAGGGGAGACACCCTGACGCAAGCGGCCCTTCCCTGAATCGGCAATGCAGCAAGGTTATCTTTACCTTTGTAGAGGTTGGTGACGGCGGTGGCTGCGTTTTGGAAGGGGACCCAGAGAGAAAGTCCTGGCTGCTGACACACTCGGTCTGAAAAGCAAACCAAAAAAAAAAAAAAAGAAAGAAAAAAGAAACACACATAGAAAAAGAAACAGAACAAGAATGTTATTTGGGCGTCAATCACTCCGGAACGGCCATATTAGGTTTCGCCATTTTGTTCAAGGGTTTCGGGATCCCAAACCCAGTGTGAGGACCGGGGGGCAGGGGGGTCGCGGCGGGGAGAAGGGGATGCCGCAGGCCTCAGGGGCTCAGATCAGGGACAAGTCGCGGCGCAGGGAGGCGCCCCCCTCGCAGTCCCCGCCCCGAGGCCGGCTCAGGGCACAATGGGGCCGCCCCGCCGTCTCCCTTCGCCATTTTGTGACGGGGGCTCCTCCCCTCCCCTCTCCGGGCCGAGGGGGACACCGGGCGGCCGGGCAAGGAGAGCGGGGACCCTCGGACGACCGCAAAGCGGGGCTCCCCCCACGCCGGCCCTGGCCTGCCCCCCCAACCCCGGGCCTCCCTCCCACGGCGCCATCTTGCGGGGAGGGGGCGGCAGAGCCGCGGCGCCACCGGACGGGACCCCCGGGGCCGCCGCCGTAGCGGCCCCCCGAAGCGGCAGCCGAGCCGACAGGGCCGGGCCCGGGCGGGGGCGGCCAAGCGGCACCAAGATGGCGGCGGCGGCCTCACCTTTGTAGAGCTGGGCCACGGCGGTGGCCGAGTTCTGGAAGAGGTGCCACAGCTTCTGCTGCTTGTGTTCGGGCTGCGCGGCGGCCGCTGCCTCCTCCTGCAGCTCTGGGGGCAGCTGCTCGTCCTGCTCGGCCTCGGCCAGGCACTGCCGCTCCCACTTGGAGAACCAGTGCTCGGGCCCGTGCTCCTGGATCTCGGCCTCGCCCTCCTCCTTCCGCTCCTCCATCCTCCGCGGCCTCCCGCGGCCTCGCCGCCGCCGCCGCCGCGTCCTCCTCAGGCGGGGCCCCCGCGGGAGCGTCGTCGTCAAGCGGCCCGGCGGCAGGGCCCGGCGGCCGGCGGCGCCTCCTCCTCTCAGCGGCCCAGGCCTCCTGCACCCCGACGGCCGGCGAGCCCCGCCCCGCGGCCCCGTGCAACCAGGGACGACCCCCGCCCCAGGCCTTCCCACCCCCCGGGCCCCGCCGAGGTCGCCGCGGACCAGATGACCGCTGCCGCCCCTCGCCTCCCCCGCCGCAGCCTGTCTAACGCTCCCCCATGACGCTGCGGCCTCCCAACTGCCGCCGCCGCCGCTGACCGCCGAGCCCTCCGCGCAGCCCGGCCTGCACCGCTGAGCCCACCCCAAAGACTGAGCAACGTCGTCGTTGCCGCCGCGGAGGACGCCTCTGCGGCTGCTGGTCCCCGCCCTACCCCGCCCACATGCTGACTGGAGAAGCACCGCCCACTGGGCCCGAGCTCCCCTGCCCGGTTGGGGCGTGGCCGCTCCAAGGGCCCCTATTAGTCGGATCAGACCGGTTCCGCGTGCCGGCTTCTGAGCACAGCACCGTGATTGGTTCTTCGGCCTGTCTGCCTGACGTAACCAAGTGGCTGGGGGAAGGGAGTGAATGTCAGGAAGGATGAAGAGGGAGGAGGGGGAGGACCTGACAGTGGTTGCGTCCGAGCCAAGGTAGCCGGTGGGGGTGGGGAGGAAGAGCTTGAAGGGATGCGCATGCGCACTTGCTCGCTGCCCCCGAGCTCCGGGGCGCCGAGTGGGGATCACGTGACCAGGCCCAGCGACCGCACCCCGCGGGAGCTTTTCCGGCGTTTACAGGCCCTGGGGGATGCAAAATCGAGTGCGACTACTGTGCCGCGGGCATTGAGAGGTGTAGTGGGTGGTAGCGTGCTTACTCCAGCCCCTGGGGCTCCCAAAGGGAGGAGGGGAGTAGAGAAAGTGAGTAAAACGCCCGACTCGTGTCCAAGTTTGCAAAGCACTTTCCGATTCTTTTGAGTGCCCCCCCACTTCATTTATTTTTTCCCTTTGAGAAGGAGTCTTGCTACATTGTCCAGGTCTAGACTCCTGGCCTCAAGCAATCCTCCCGCCTCGGCCTCCCAAGGCGCTGGGAATACAGGCTTGAGCCACCGCGCCCGGCCCAGAGTCCCATTTCTTAGATGGGCAAATCGAGCAACAGAGCCAAAGAAAAACTTAAGAGTTGCGAAGTCGGCTCAGCTGCCCCTGCGCCCTGGCGTCCCCGAGGTCCTTGCGCCTTCCCGGTGGACAAGAGGCAGCCGCCCGCGGAGCCGAGGATAACCCGACTGCCCAGGCTGCCGGGTGCCCGCACGCGTCTGCGCCTTGGCGCCCGCGGCGGCACCCGCACCTGTCCCGAAAAGCACACTCCCGGCCACGTGCACGCCCCGCGTCACGCACCGGCCCCTGCCTCCCCCGGCCGGAACCCGCATGGCGGTGCAGAGCGCGGTGCCCGCCCCTGCTCCCCAGCAGCGCGCAATAGCTGGGCGCCCCTGAGGCTGCGCGCCCCCCTACCCTACCGGGACTTTCTCCCGGATCTGAGGCCAGAAGGCAGCGACGCAGACAGGCGGTGACCGCATAGAGGCAAAACCCACCATCCCCACCTACAGGCCCACGGCAGGCACTAGCCGGCCTGGAGCCGCGGAGGGGGCCGGCCAGGGGCCGTGTTGCCCGCAGCGTGCGACAGTGCGCTTGCACAGAGCAAGGCAGCTTTGCAAGAAAACCTGACCCCCTCACCGTGGCCTGCAAACCCCTGCAAGATCTGGCCCTGGCGCCTCTCACACAATCCCCTACTTGGCTTGTACCTTGCGCACCCCTTCCCCTCCCCTCCACTCCCCCAGTCTTCCCTCTCCCCCGCCCTCCCCTCCCCTTCGCGCCCCGCCCCCGCCTGGACGCTCACACACTGGCCTGCCTTATTTCCCTGGGACACTTAGGGTCTTTCCTGCCCCAGTCCGCTCTCTCTGGAAGCTCTTCCTCCTCCTTTTTCCTCAGATAGCTCCTGTTTAGGAAGCCTACTAGGACAAGCCTGAAGTAGCACCCTTCACACTCTCTCCTACTGCCCCGTTATATTATTTCGTAACATTGATCACTATCTAAAATGCTAAATTAGGGCGGGTGCAGTGGCTAAAAAAAATTTCCAATTTTAGGGAAGAATATAAAGTGAAAAGCAAACAAAAATCATTCTACCTAGCTCATTCTACATCCTGCCAATCCTATTCCCAGGAAATAACTTGTGACCTTTGAAAACGGAGTTATGTGTATGTCATGTGTGTATGTGTACGACGTGTGTGTCTGTGTGTGTCTACCTATATACAAGTATGTCCCCTTTTAAGGAAAAAAAAAGATGATTTTATGTGTACTATCCTACAAACCTTTTTCCCTTAACGTAATTTGGATGTCTCCACATTGGGACCTAAAGACATTTATTCTTTCAAAATAATGCAAAGAATTTCATTGTATGGATTCACTATAAAGTATTTAACAGGGCCCCTATTGATGCAAATTTAGGTTGTGACCAGTCTTTGCCTATTATAAACAATGCCATAATGAACATCTTGTACATATGTACTGCAGTGAACATCCTTGCATGTATACATATATGTATGCAAATATATATCCTCAGAAATAGTATTTTAGAGTCACAAGGTATATGAGTTAAATATTTTATGAGGCTAGTCATGGTGGCTCACACCTATATTCTCAACAATTTAGGAGGCCAAGACGGAAGGATTGCTTGAGCTCAAGAGTTCAAGACCAGCCTGGGCAACATAGTGAAACCCCGTCTCTACAAAAAAATACAAAACATAGCCAGGCATGGCGACACACACCTGTAGTTACAGCTACTCAGTAGGCTGAGACGGGAGGATTGCTTGAGCAAAGAAGGCATAGGTTGCAGTGAGGCGAGATAGTACCACTGCACTCCAGCCTGGGTGACAGAGTGAGACCCCATCTCAGTCAATCAATCAATCAATAAAACTGCCTGCTGAGTGTAGGACCAATGGTTGTTGATATGTCAATTTCTGCATTTCTGCATTCCCAGTAGCACATGAGAAGTCCAGGCCTGCATATGTAGGTATGACAAAGGAAAGAACGCTGCTGGACCATTCTACTGCCTGCAGGCCCTACTTCAAAAGCCACACACCACTTTGGACAGTCCAAAGGTTCCGAGTTTTTGCAGAATGAAAGCTGCTCTTCTTCTTGTTCATGTAATTCAGACACTGTTCCAGAAGTTTCTGACCTTTTCTTGTAAGAACATAATATTTCAGCCATAGATACAAGAAGGAATGATATTGAATTGCATCAATGGTGGATCTATAATAAATATTTGTCGGTTAGCAAAGACAATCTAAAGAAAAAGGAATAAATGTTGAAAAGCAGGCGGGGCGCGGTGGCTCAAGCCTGTAATCCCAGCACTTTGGGAGGCCGAGGCAGGTGGATCACGAGGTCAAGAGATCGAGATCATCCTGGCTAACATGGTGAAACCCCGTCTCTACTAAAAATACAAAAAACTAGCCAGGCGTGGTGGCGGGCGCCTGTAGTCCCAGCTACTCGGAGGCTGAGGCGGGAGAATGGCGTGAACCCGGGAGGTGGAGCTTGCAGTGAGCCGAGATCGTGCCACTGCACTCCAGCCTGGGCGACACAGCGAGACTCCATCTCAAAATAAATAAAAAAATGAATAAATATTGAAAAGCATCACCTATCCGCTTGATTTCCATGACTCTGAGCTTTATTTTAACCTCTAAGAGTTTATTTTTTGTTGTTGTTTTGAAACGAAATCTCACTCTGCAGCCCAGGCTGGAGTGCAGTGGCATGATCTCAGCTCACTGCAACCTCCACCTCCTGGGTACAAGCCATTCTCCTGCCTCAGCCTGCCGAGTAGCTGGGACCAGAGGTGTGCACCACCATGCCCAGATAATTTTTTGTATTTTTTTGTAGGGATAGTTTTACATTGTTGCCCAGGTTGGTCTCCAATTCCTGGGCTCAAGCAGTTCTCCCACCTCTGCCTCCCAGGTGGCTGGGACTACAGGCACATGCTACCATGCCTGGCTAAATGTTGAATTTTTGGAAAGGCGGGGTTTTGCAGTGTTGCCCAGGCTGGTTTCCAACTCCTGGACTCAAGCAATCCTCCTGCCTCAGCCCCCCAAAGTGCTGGAATTACAGGTGTGAACTACTGTGCCCAACCCACCTCAAAGCATTTCTGAATTCTGAATTGACAGTCTTAGAGCCCTTAAGCTATTATTCAAATACTTATTATCTTCTTATTCATGTGTACTTTATAATCAATGCCACTTGGAATGGAGGAATGTCAAATGCCTACTCCTCAGTTTAAAGATCAAATCTTCTAAGCCGGGCGTGGTGGCTCACGCCTGTAATCCCAGCACTTTGGGAGGCCAAGGTGGGCAGATCACCTGAGGTCAGGAATTTGAGACATGGAGAAAACCCATCTCTACTAATAATAAAAAATTAGTGGAGTTTGGTGGTGCACGCCTGTAATCCCAGCTACTCAGGAGGCTGAGGCAGGAGAATCGCTCGAACCCAGGAGGTGGAGGTTGCAGTAAGCCAAGATCATGCCACTGCACTCCAGCCTGGGCAACACAGCAAGAATCCTTCTCATTTGGGAAAAAAAAAAAAAGGCTGGGCTCGGTGGCTTATGCCTTTAATCCCAGCACTTTGAGAGGCTCAGGCGGGCAAATCACCTGAGATCAGGCATTCAAGACCAGCCTGGCCAACATGGTGAAACCCCGTATCCACTAAAAATATAAAAATTAGCCGGGTGTGGTGGTGCCTGTCTGTAATCCCAGCTACTTGGGAGACTGAGGCAGGAAAATTGCTTAAACAGGAGGTGGAAGTTGCCGTGAGCAGAGATCACGCCACCGAACTCCAGCCTGAGCAACAGAGTGAGACTTCTCAAAAAAAAAAAAACCTCATGAAATTCTGAATCAAGTGATCTGTCTGCCCTTAATGATATTAGAATTATTCACATTTCAAATAGCAGATGTTTATATAATTGT